CACTGAAAGGGGTTAAAGAAAAGATATCGTATATTTTATGTGAGCTGAAGAAGATCTTATCTTAAAAACAGTGACAAAAAACGCAGTGGTTTACTGCTCCTAACAATTCTGTACAACAGAAATGTTTTGTTTTTTTCTAAGTTTGACAACTCAAAAAGAACAGCCCACGAAAGTCCAGGAGAAATCGATATAAACCTCACAAAATTGTGTGACCGGAAACTGGTCAATTTGACCCCAAGGTGAATGATTTGCATTTTCACTCAGTGAAGAAAGATGCATCATCAGCTTCAGCTTGGTACCGCAGTGCCCTGAAGTCAACTGTGAAACCTGTGTGTATCTTCAATGCCCTCTGATACTGCAGGCTGAGTAAACTGCTCCTTGTATTAACACACTGTCTTGCCTAACATTGCGCTCTTCTGGTACCAGGGGCTTCCTCTCCAGTTCAACGACTGTTAGGAGGGGGAAAGAACGGCCCTTTCTGTTACAGCTGAATTTTTGACCTCTTGCGCATAATTACAAGCCCTTGACATCTGCCATGCGATTGCTACCACAATGCCAACCATTCAATGAACGGCATGGACACTGTAATTTAAGTGAACAGGACGGAGGGAAAACACTAATAATCAAGCAGAAGATTTCAATTTTTCTTTCTTTGAAGGAGCCTTGTTTGTTACGCTGTTGGATCAGATGGCAAAATACATCATTCGAACTGGCCTGTTGCCAGATGTTGCTTACAGCAAAATTACATGTTTTCTTCGGCTAAAGACCAGGTTAGAAACCTCTTAATTATACCATTCTATATATATTTTAAATACAACAGGGTTATGACAATGCTTGCATTGGTAAAACTAAACTGCAGTTTTGGCAGTGTCTTCTGGGTGAGGAGGAAGGTACAAGCTGCATAACCCTCCTAAAATCACAGGTTAGACAATGATTGCTTTTAAGAAGTTAAGGTGGATCTGAAAAGAAGAAATAACCATCGATCATTAGAAAGCTGTTTCATTCTGGTAAGGGTTGTGGCCATCCAGAGGCTATCCTGGGGGCACAGGGTACAACACAGGGCCACACCCTGCATGGCACGTTACTGTAGCAAAGGACACACACAGGGACAATTTAGAGACACCAATTAACCCAGCCAGCATGCGTGTCCAGTCCACCACAGGGCAGATACCTACCTTGGGACATTTAAAAAACACTACCGAATGACATATGCACATATTTACAGAACATTAAACCTAGCGGCTTGCAATCCTTACTGGGAACTTTCCAAAAACTGATGGAAAGACAAGCACCACAAAAGTGAAAAATAGAGTCTTAGAACACGGGTGGAAAGCAAGATCAGTGTAACTCACACGCATAAACACACCAGTCACGAAGGAGCCTTAACCAGCAAGCCTTTGAAGCTGGGGGGGAATCACGACTGCCTAGAGAAGAAACACACATGGCGAACAACAACATGCAAACTCCACACGGAAGGTATCTCAGGGCAGAACCGGACCCGGTACCCAAGACACCAGAGCTTGGTAGAGCACGTAACACCATCAACGGCAAGGATCCGTAACCTTCCCAGAAGCAATTTATTGACAGGAAAATAATGTGCAACATACCAGAATTCAAAATGCCAAAACTGTATATTAAAAAACGTGGCAATTCAGTCAAATACACCATTGATCCACAGTATTTTTTATGCGATACAATTCAGTTGTGCTGGCATCAGGGTTCAGGGCTAGAATATGCAAGCATCTGTCAGGTTGGAATTTGCCACAGTGTGTCTGCAAGTCCTCTGTGGTGCTTTCTGGGCCCCAGTGTGGTGTGAAACGGTCTGCTATGGTTTTGTAAACGTTCCTTTGAATGTAGCATTTCCATTCATGACAATACCTGACACACTAACACGGAACACTTTGTCTTTCTGTCATTGACAACGCATTCATTATAAGGTGTGTTAAAAAAACTGACTTTTCTAAGTGAAACGGCACCTTCCTTCACAGCTCCTCCTCGGCGCGGTAGATACTGCAATGTATTCTCTTAGCTTCACACAGGCCAGAGCTGCTGACTCCCGATGGGAGTGCGCTGAACTATGTTTACCACACGGCGTGTTTACCAGGCCACCACAATGCATCAATCACGCTGGGGAAACCATTCTGCCATCCAGTCAGGATTTCAAATGATTTCACATTTCTCTCTCGCTGCTTTTAGAAGTTCAGATAAACGATCTTGCTCCCAGAAACACAAAGCACGCGCTTGTAGCCGAAGAGGGAAAAAAACAGCTGGAAAATGAAACGTCATGCTTAATTTTTCATAGCATCCCGACCATCGCGATAAAGAGTGAGCTCTGTGAGAGGACGGCCGCATAGCTTCCTTAAAGATAATGTTATCGAATAGCCGTTCGGCACTGAAAGGAAACAAAAACACTCAGAATCTTTATTTTTAATGAATGTGCTAACATGCTGAAAATGGGGCCAAGATCAAGCTAGCGTGAGGCAAGAGCAAGCCAGGCTCTCCTCTGAGTTTGAACAATTAACTAGGAGAGCGCAAAAGTGCAACTTTCAGATCATAATTGTCACTGTACAGGGCCCTGGCCGCTGTATTTTTCATTCTGTTTTTATCTGTATTATAAAAAGTAGTGTAGCCAATTGTATTTAAGATTCCTCCTAAGAAAACTGAAAAACATTGTGAGTCCTTATTCAACTTTAAAGCGCACAGCAATTGTTGTCATGTCCTTTGCCTCTTGTTACTAAGCAAATTCCAAAATGGCTACCCAAACAAGGTGTACTGGTGCGTAACAGGCCCCAGTCACAATTGCTTCAGTCACGCAGGGTCTGAACAGGCAGGCACCTGCACTGCCCTTTTATCAGTCTCACTCGGCAGACAACCTCTTTCCATAATCTGGGAATACTGTACTTAATGAGCATCGGAAACACTACCGAGTAGAAAACAACCGAAATACTCAAAGCATTTATGAAGCAATATTGATTCTTGATCCCTGAGAAGTTCCAGTAACCAGTTTTTCTTGTTTTAGATACCACATTAGTTCTTTAAATGCGAATTGCTATTATTATTGGTGCCACAGCGATGTAGCTCCCCCTGGTAACATTGCAAGCTCCCTGGAATCCAACAAACTGTGGTAACACACACATGATCAGTTCAGGAAACCCTGAAACCCCATTCTCATATATTCTCAATAAACCCTGACACAATGTTGGTCAAATACGTGTGCAGGCATGTGTGGAAGTCATGTCTGATTTGGCTAAGAAGGCCCAAATTCACACCTGGCATTTTGGGACACAAGGCCCAGTTAATGATCCCAGATACAGCTTTCACTACTTGAGCAAATCTTCTTTCAACAGCCTAACAAGTTCCATAGGCAGTTGGGTGTCGTAATGATACAGTTCACATACTGCAGATGTTGTCAATGTCTAAAAATAAGTAACAACTGAGTCAGTCAAGCCAGTAAATGCCCACGTGGAACTGGAACCAGAAAACCCAATGGCTTTCCAGGATGAGGGGAGATTACAAGTGCCGTAGAATCTTAGGAGGTGGTAGGAAGAAGCAAAAAAAAAAAGCAAACATTACAGTCCAGTCTTCACCAACTATACTTATTAAAACCAAGCCAGTTATCAACTTTTTGGGTTCTGTGCTAAATTTGACAAAGATCGCATTTCTTTTCATTGTCATCCTGCAGTGTAACATGTACTTATATGCAGTTACTCAGCCAAAATGAACCAAAATAGCTAGCAGGTCAGAATATATATTCTGCCTGTGTGTTTTCAGCAAATTGGTGCTGTTTCCACTAAACCTTGCATTTCCATCTTTTATACTTTTAAAATAATAAAATTGTAGCCCTGCCGAGATAAGCGGGCATTTTACAAAATCTGGAAACAGTTATCAGCAGTTTATAAATCTAGAAAAATTCCCATTGATTTAGTAAATGTCTGCAAAAGAAGATTATAAGCAGTATCCTGTTAGATGTGGGTAACAGCCAGAACTGAGTGCATTGTAAAAAGGTGAATGCCCCTTGTGTGTTCAGTGGAAATCTGAGCTCAGCTCAGTGGAAAATAAGCACAGCTACACACATCTCACAAAAGTATGTGTACACACACAAGCCGAGGTCATGAGGCTTGGCATTCCTTATCAGAAGCACCGATGTGCTCATCAGGACACTGAGCTCTGGTTCTGCAGACCATTTTCTGCATTTTTTTCCCCAATGCCCAGCTCTGGCCTTTATGTCTATGGGTTGGGTGACAAGTAACAGGACTTACTGGGTTAGCTGTGTGATTAGGGGGAATGAGAAACATCATTTAAAAGAAAAATGCCCATGTGCAAAGAATTTAAAAAACATAGGAAGAACATGGCTTGGGAGATGTCATTCAGATCAGAACCAGACTGCTTTGGATCCATCCATGGCAGATGGCCCTTCGTGTTAAATATCTTCGGCTGTTTCAGTACTTGGCTGTTTCAACTGTAAATGATAATGATACACTTCTGCGTTTGTACTACCATGTAAGCCTTTTGTAAGCCTAAGAACGCAACTAATCAAAAGGTACTGCACCTGAAGATAATGTCCAGGCTATGTGTACTGACATCACACTGAAGTACCAGTTTCCATTATTTGTTATGCATTGAAAATATCCTTTCATCATCTTCATGTTCTGATAAAACACTTACGCTGGCATGGCAGCCTTTATAAGAAGGGTCTTGGATCATCACGCCAGCTTCCCCAAACACCCCCCCCCCCCATCTGTGCAAATGAGCATGTAAGATGGGCATGCCAGTACCATGTGCATATCATTTCCCTCATTAGCCCCATCTCTCCATGACCTTTGCATAAATTAGCGTGCTTTTAGCATGTGTGGCACATATACATTTACACATCGGCTAGGTTTTTACATGGTTTGTGGAGATGGAGTCTCATTACGCAGTTTAAGTCGTTGGCTCGCCGGCTTATGATCACCTTTCTTGAAGGAGATCCCACCGGGGTCGTGCGGACGTGCGATACTCACCCTGTGCGGGTCAAATTCTGGGGGCCTCTGGCGGGCTTCAAGCTCCTCATATGCTGGTGCTGCCCCCTCCCGTCTGGCCTGCTGGTATTCCTTACGCAGTTGCTGAATTCGGTCCACGGTGCTGCGATGACAGAGCAACACAGCCATGAACTCTCAAGGAATCCCAGACAAATATTGACCTTTCAAGGTAAGACATATTAGGTTGTTCTTATCTGCAGAGCCTGTTGGAAGAATAGAATTTTATATTATAAGGAAGACAAATACAACCCTACAACCTTTATAGGCAGCACAAGTCTGGCAACAACAATCCATTGGGAGCCCAGTTCTGAATAGCTGGGATCCTCAGGGCTGTCACTCTGTTACTAATGTGGGACGATTTCCACCCAACTTCGTTTATCATCAACGCATTCTTGAGCCAATTCGAATTTTTTTTTTCTCTTTCTTTTTTTGTTCTCTTCTTTTAAAAATCTATGCCTTTCAGAGGACTGGCTAGGATGAATAAGTGACAGCATAATTCTATAATCACAGGGAATCGTGAATTCCTGTAAAACTGTGACAGCTTTTTAAATATTAGGTGCCACATTCACAAAGATGCATTTCTGTTCAATCAGTCCCACATGAATATATGCAAAGAGAAAATGACATTTAATAGTATAAGGAGCAAATCGGTGGTCCTAAGAGGATTTCAGTCCTAGAGAGCAGGTTCATTCTTCAATTCAGGTTAGATATACATAAAATTCTTACATATCCGTAATACCTTTGTTATGATGAACTAAACTGGGTGATAAAACAAATACAATTAATGAAAGACTGTTGGGAAAAAAATATTAGAAAAGGCATATTAACTTACTTGCCATTTTTTATTCAAATTATTAGATATAGATTCAGGAATAAAGGACATTTGGAACTATTAAAAAGGGGAAAAATGTTATTTTTTCATGTAGGTTTAACTACTTAATAGGATGGCAAATTTAGTACAGAAGGGAATAGAAAAACAAGCAGAGCTTCAGAGAAATTTTTCCTCGCACATTTTGAGTGCCAAAATCACATTTACATGAAAAGCACCTTTTGTTTTCCACTTAGAGAACACCTGTTGAGCAAATTCTGGTCTACAGCAGACTACTGCTGAAACTCTGAAATTCCCTCTGTATGTGTTTAAGTTAAACAAACGAAATATCAGTCAATGCAATTATGTTTAAAGAAATGTTAATGAAATTCATGTTAAATTAAGGTTTAAAAAAATGTTATAATACTGGATATACCGAATGTCTGACCCACAAATAACATCTGCACACTAATATTAGACGTTAGATCCTTAAGAATGAGTTGTCAAACACTGTGTTAAAAACTTCCAAAGAACTCAAACGCTTGAAATAAACTCCCAACAACCTTTTCTGCCGTGTCACCTCGCTCTCACGCAAAACTGCGTCCCACGAATCGCATCTGCCTGACTCAGATTTTTTTCAACAAAGGCTGCCATTTATTACAGTCGGTGCAACCCATTTCTGAACTGTTTTAGGCGGAAGGCGCTTTATTGCTCGTTGCTGAGAGAAGTCACGCTGTTTTCATTTGCAAAATTCGCCTCAAGCAAATGAACCCAAAAAAAAAAGAGGAGAGAGCCCCTATTCAGAAAGTTGAACTGAAACGCACAGCCAAAGATCAGCAGATGATTCGCATTAAGGAGGAGAACGCTGAGCGGAAGATTCAAGGAGAAATCATTCTTTACGAGCTGGGGTCAGGGTATAGCAGGTGCTTTGGCTTAGAAGAGCACTACCCTATTGGCAGGTAGAACTCAGTGGAGTCGTAGGGACCGTCTATTGTAAGAGACCTGTAAGGAAGCACCACTCCCTCTGGGAAGTCAGGAGTGCACAGAAACATCATTTCTAGCGATCATGAGCAATAAAGAAGTGTACAGATCTAGTAGAGACACATTCAGGCCTATAGTGAATAAATGACAAAGCTCCACATTTAGTTTAGGGGGATCATTTGGGACTGCATCTACAAACAACAGCTTTTTGCTGTGATATTACTTCATGCAGTAAACCACCTACCTCTTCCCCCATAGGGAAGAATATGGGCTTTATGGTATTGAATGACACCCTGATCTAGATCTAGTGACTGGGGTTGGAGGGAGGGGGCAGGATTTGAATGTCACTAAGAAGAACGAAAACCCGTGGAAGATGAAGGGAGATCACCCCAAGTTCTTAACCACATTTTTCACGTCATGTCTTCTTACAGTATGTACCAACTGCCTGAAGCATTACGATCACTGCACACTGGTGAGTCTTCGGTGTAAACTCCCCATGCAGTTTTGAAAGCGCTACATCTCTTTCCTAGCGAAGATGTTTCAGTATTCTTTGGAGATCAAGTGAGTTTGCCTTTCTAGCATCCTGAAACAGAAGCCTAGTGCAGCTGAAATTCAAACTACCAGTTGGCAGTCAACTGGACTTCAGGGGGCCATTCAAAATCCTAAGAGAATTATTGGGAGTAGTAGTGTTAATGGTTAATTTGCATACTGCATGTGGTAGAAGCCCTTAGGCTCTTAGGAAGAAAAGTGAGTGGGGGAAAAAAAATTAGAGTGAGTGTTACTGAATCTCTAAAACTGCAGAGGCTGTTTACTTTTTTCAGGTGGCTAAATCATAAACCACCGAGAAGCAGTTGTTCTAAATTATATTCACTCATTTATAGTGATAGCTAATTTATTTATAATCATCAAGGATTTTCAGTGTATTTCAGACTTTAGTCACAAGTGGGATGAGTGAACCATCAGTTGAAAGATAAAAAACAGAGTCCAGTACAGATATGTCTAAGTCCGATGCCTGCATTAAATTAGATTCCCACCTGTAATTTCTGCACAATCAATGCTTTTACTTTTTGTGATAAATTGTGTGCTTTCACTCTGCCAACTTTAAAAAAAAATGTTAACAGAAAGGTACCGTCAGCATCTCCATCTCTCGGGACAAGTACACAAGCGCAGCTTCTCACAAATTCCTCTTGTTCGCCGAAGAACTCACACAGCGCACCAACGTCAGGTCTAATTTAAGCATTTTTCCATCAATGGCAAAAGGAAAAAAAAAAACTGCTGTTTTTTTCTGCTCTCCTCTGGCAGATCAAGTCATTAACGGGGCTCAGGGAGACCTGAGTTTAACAACAACTTGACGAAAGGCGACTGAAATGAGCAGGGCCCGGCAAAAAGGCTTAACGATTAGTATTAGTTTTCTTTAACGCGCTGTTTTTCGGAAACCTCGTTAAGCGGCTTGCCGAGATGCCTGGCATACTGAAGATCTGACGCAGTGGGGGTGGACAGATGCATGAGCTCAACAAGTTCGGGACACGCAAACTAGCAAGGCCGGCCAATGGATGTGGTGCCACCCAGGAACCTGGAAAAAAAAAAGGGGGAACCGTTTCTCCCTCCTTCGCTCTTCGGGATGGTTTCCATCACACTTCCATCCCCCGGACTCCGACGCTCCCAAGTCCTGCTCCGACCGGGTCTCGGTTCGGAGTCGCATCGCTTTGTGAACCTCGAGCATTAGCAGCAGTTAGTCCCGCTGGGAGGAACGCCGTCTGGAGCCTGCCCCACAGCTTCCATCTGTCAGCGTCTGCAACAGCCTTCATCAGTGAGCCTTCCTTTCCGCTGAGAGAACAACTGCACTCCCATTCTGAGAAAGAGGAGCCCTGTGCCAACCTGACGCAGGGCCAGTAACTTTCCACCAGAGTTTTAATCCCCTCGTACACTAACACATTGCCGCATCGCCCCCCCCACAAAACGGCTTGTGCAGCATCTCATTCACTGATATTTGCAAATGCTCTTTCATTTAGGCTTTTTCTGAGCTGTAATCAAATAACAAAATATCACATCTCCCCCAGTTTCCAAGAACGGATGCATTAATCCCTTTCTGCAGCTCATCCGAATTTAAATACTTTTGACAAGCCGACTCATATTCCAAACTGAACGGAGTCGTGCTGTGGAGGGGGGGGTGGGGGATCCCAGGTGGTTTAACTAGTAAAGGCAGTTTTTGTTGGCGTGTAGTCTGAGCCCTGCAGTCCAGACACTGCTGCTTAGAGTCTGTCATCAGCCACTGTGAACTGGGATTTCAGACGCAGGGGGTGAGCACTGGTTGGACACCCCAGGGAAACAGACAGACTGGAGCTGATGAAGGCATCCTAAGTGTGAGCTGGTGCTTTGCATCATTCGATACGAAGGCCCCTGTGACTTGCCTGGCAAATGTAAGTTTATAGTGCTGTACAGCAAGAGCCAAATCAATGCATACTCTTTAGTAGGCTTTGTGGGACACGCAGCATGGAAGATACCAGATGGCTCTGATAAGCTGGAGGAACGCTTCACAAATGACAATTGCAAACTGGCAGGACAAAGACAGAAAAATGCATATCCATTCTTTTTAGTAACTCCCACCAAACATTTTAAAGCAAACTGACCATTTTCGGTGATCATTTCACCCCATTACTGCGTGTCAACCAATACACAGGTGGTTTATTATTGCTGCTCTTGCCTATGCCCTTTCAAACTATGATTATCTTTACTATACACGAAAACGAAAAACACTCAAACACCTGACATTCACCAACACTGGCACTGACCAAATGAACTCTCTCCTAAAAAACTTTTTACGATTCATTCCAGCAGATACTGCTGGCTGTGCTTCATCTGAGAAGATAGTGATAACATCATCCCCCTCAACAGATGCTGGTTGGGTTCAGTATTTATTAGCAGGGTGTCATTACAGAGGGTAGAAGCTTAGCACAAAGGTCTTTAACATCGTCTGCTTCTGTATGTGGATTTCAGGACATACACGGGACCTGCAATTAAGGCTGAATTAGATCACTACAATTATACTCTATTTGAACTTTTGTTTTTTAATTCTCACCTCACTTTCCTTGACAAAATGCCTGAAAGAATAAAGCATAAATGTGTACTAACATTTGTCTCCTTCCCTTTTGACTACACACAAAAGCTCCCTCACGGCTAGTTTATAGGATTGATGGGGCACCACAGAAGAAAACAACAATTTTATCAAAGGCGCCTATTGATTGTGGCAAAGAAGGAGTGCTTTATCATAAAACACCAGTTTCATAATTTTGCTTTCTAACGACCTGTAAATA